CTTCATTTTTCTTATTTAAATACATCTCTTCGTGTGCTTGAAGAAGTCATGATGCCGTCAGATCATTTATTTTTTCCCACCGCTAGACAAATGGTGCTTTGTCAAGGATGAAGTCACACTAGCTATGGATTCATGAAATATTTTTTTCAATTAAGAGTTCATTTGTGAAGATTTTTTTATTTCTTTTTAAATTTGTTTCTTAGTATATAAATTTTTTTTATAGAATTTTTTATTAAAAAGTTGTTTTATAAAGAATAAAGAAAAATTTTCCAAATGAAACCTAAGTCAAATACATATTTTATATTTGGAGTATAATAATTGAATACTATCCCATCTTGTTAGGTGTATTTGTATCCAACAGTTGTAGAAATGATGGATCATAACTAATTTAAAGAAGGGGTCAAATTGAATAAGTGAGAACCAAAGTTTTTGGATGGATAGGGCTATAAATAAATCGAGCATTTGATAAACTATATGTGAATCAACTCAATTACAACTTGTTTATAATAGCATGTTTAAGTATTTAAAAAAAAAATTTAATATTTTTTTTTAAATACTTGACTGTTAAATAAACAAGCTTGAACGTTATTGTGTTCGGCTCAGTTATATTCATTAACAATGTCAACTAAAGCTCACAAGCAAGCTCAATATAAAGCTTGTGAATAGTTAAGAATCGATTAAGGCCTCTTATAATCTTTATTTGATATATTTTCACATAATTTTTAGATCTTATAATTTCACTTTTTATGTTGTATTATTTCAATAGAATGAATTTATTCATGAACATGAGGTATTTGTTCATGTTTGTTTGTTGTTTGTTTTAAGTATTCATCAACAAACTTGTTTATAAGAAGAATAAATTTTTAGCACATTTGTTCTTGAACATAATCGTTTGATAACTCGAAAATACTAACTAGATATATTCATGAATGGGCTCTTTTGTAGCTCAAAAACTCTAGATAGATATGTTCTCAAGTAGGCTATAGGTAATCGTTTATTAGTTGGCTCAACAAGGCTCATTTGTTAAGCTAATCAACATCTAAAAAGAAAAGCTCATTAATAGCTTGATAATGTAGTTTGTTTAAAGATAGATAAGAACAAAATGAACCAAACATGAACAAAACATGA